CATCCACCCATCATCCATCCATCCATCCATCTGTCTGTCCATCCATCCATCCATCCATCCATAATCCATCTATCCACCCATCTATCCACCCATCTGTCCATCCATCCATTCATCCATCCATCCATCCATCCATCATCCATATCTGTCCATCCATCCATACATACATCCATACATACATGCATACATTCATTCATCCATCCATCCATCCATCCATCCACCCATCATCCATCCATCCATCCATCTGTCTGTCCATCCATCCATCCATGCATCCATCCATCCACAATCCATACATCCATCCATAATCCATCTATCCACCCATCTATCCACCCATCCGTCCGTCCATCCATCCATCCATCCATCCATCCATCCATCCATCCATCCATCCATCCATCCATCCATCCATCCATCCAGTTTCTGTTATTTATCCAGGACCCAGTGTTGGGTCAACTTCCTGACCAGCAGTCCCAGACTTCTCTCTCACTAACCAAGTGAGATACACTTGTGAGATACAAAATCTAAATAAATATTTCTGTCTATCAGGAGAACTTCTAGTTGGGTGAGTCCAACTTTAGGTACCCGAATCACCCAATGTGGCTTCTTTAGATGCAACAGAGCAGCTCTTCGGTCAGCTGAGTCCAACCAACGTAAAATATGGGTGTCCAGTGAGTGACCGTCGATGTCTTGTCACATGCACACTTCCTTAAACTCTTCCTACAAAATCCCTTCATTATATAACAACTATTCTAATAAAACAGTCACTTTCTGCATCGACCATTTCTACAAACTTTCTTTTAAAAGCAGTTTTTTTAGACTATCAAAAGCAAAATTAACTTTTTTCTTTACCGTCTCCTCAGCTCTGTCTCCCTTTGCGCTGATGTAGGTCAGTCGATAATGACGAACATTTCTGGAGTCCACAGGCTGCCACGACACCCGCATACTAAATGTGGTTTCTTCATCGATCTTTATACTCTTCACTCCGTAGCGGGGAGCTTAAAGATCAGAGATGGAAAAAAAAAATTATTAGATAGATGAAATCACAGGGCAGATAACAGTCAAATAACTCAGAGAAGCAGAAACCCGTCACAGCATATGACGAAAAAAAAAGATGACAAAACGTTTTGGCATTTAATTTACTCCACATTCATATCAGTTTCTTGTTAATATCTCTGTTCCCTGCAGGAAGTATCAAAAATCCTCATGATGGACGATAAGCGCCCCGTCTCAAGTCATGAGAATACATTTACAAAAACTACCAACGAAACCAAATCTGAAAACTTAAAAACATTGATTTGCTTCATGTTTTTTGCAAAATATTAATAAAAATACATGTTTCTTATATAGCATCTTTCCAAATGTAAGGTATTTCAATAAATTATATTGTTAGATATGGAAAATAATTTCACCAGCAGATGAAATGAAACGTAAAAATGAAGATCTGCAATGTGAAAAGCTAAGAAGAGATGAAAGCAGGGAGACGGAGGAGAGAAAAGGAAAAGGAAGACCTTTTGAAAACAGCTGGAATACTTACATGCTACTGTTGTGGTTGTTGTAGCGACAGTAGTTGTTCTTTTAGCTGAAAATGACAACAAGCGTTTAGCTGCTTGAGTTCACTCATTTAAATAAATGGATAGTACAGGATTCGTTTCACTACTGTGGCTGGTGCGTTAGCTCAGTGAGAAACAGTAAATGATAAATAAGACAGAAGACCAGTCTATTAAAGTATGTGCACTATTAGAAGATATTTGATTTACTGGTGGTTTCTATCAGGACCACTTCATCGCTCTCAACCTCGTTCCCGTAGATGGCGGCCAGGAGGACTTCATACTCTGAGGCAGGACTGAGTCCTTTTATCAGGTAGGTGTTCACATCGCCATTCACCAGAGCCTGAAACAGCAAAATCAAACAGTTAAACGCATAAATGCACGGCTGAACAACTAAAGAAGATCAAAATGTGACGCTTACAGGTGAGACGAAGCCTGAATTAAAATAATAAATAAAAATTTTTACATGTCAAAAAAATAAAACATTGAATTTTTGTTTTATTATTTATTCACTGTGGAATTATTCAAACATGATCAAAGTTTCAGGGAGTGAAAGAAAAGAACAAAGAAGACAACAATAAAAGTTACAAACAACAACAACAACTACAATGGCTCTAAAAATGGTTATAGCAGTAGTAGCAAAAATAAAAAAATAAAATTAATTAATAATAATAATAAGAAAAATGGGCATAATGACTATAACAACAACAACAACAACAACAACAACAACAACAACAATAATGACTATAATAATTCTAATAACAATAACAACAACAACAATAATAATAACAATGACTATAATAATACTAATAACAATAATAATAATAATAATAATAATAAAGGTTCAAAGACTGAATGCCCATCAAATATCAGTTTTCAAAAATCATAAAAGTTTTGTGTAATAATTATTTATTTATTAGAGGTTAATCATCAGAAGTTGAAAAGGGGAGGTTGAAAATGACTAAAGAATGAAAACTAATAATAAAAAACAAAAGAAATAAAGAAATATGAATACAATTAAATTAAAGACAACTCATGAAAGTTTGGAGATTTTTATCAAACGAACAAACAAAAAAAAAAAACAATAAATTGTGTTTTTTGAGACCAGAACAATAAAACTAACAGAGAGAAACAAATGTATCAAATATTTAATAAACACAAAACTAAAGAAATTTCAACAATATGTACGTATAATAAAACATTTTTGAGCTTTAACAAACAAACAAAACAAAAAAAAATTTACAAAGGAAGGAAAGAAAGTGTCCTCTGCTACAGATGTTGTCTAAAATAAAGAAGACGCCTCAGTACGAGTTTTAATTCCACTGGGTACAAAACATGAAACGCCTCCTCCTGAAGACGTCGGGGATTTCAGAAGGTTTGTGAGATGAGAGCACATTTGATAAACAGGCAGGACCAAGCTGAGTTCAAAACACTCATTATAATAATCAGCAAGTACTGGGTTGAAAATGGGTCAAGTGATGGAGACAAACAGGATCATCTTCAAGTCAAACTCCCAAAGAGCAGAACAAGTAGAATGAGCGAGAGTCCATTCTGCTCTGCTACAAACAGTTGTCTGAACGATGTTCATAGATCAAACATGTCTGGAGTTTAATCCCAAGGAAAAGAGCGAGGCACCTCAATCAGCTGTGCATGCTCGTATCTGAGTACTTTTTAAGTACTTCACAGCTTTACCACACAGTTTCAATGCAATGTATTTTTATTGTTAGTTTTGTAAAATAAGTTACAGCAAAGAAGATAATAAAGAACAAGTTTGATCAAATGATCTCTTACAGGGGATGAAGAAACACTGTTATTTTTAATATAATAACTGAGAGATAACGTTATAATGTTTTTTTAATGTAATTTTATTCTTTTTTGTATTTATTTTTCCTGACATAATTCATACGGGCAGTGAAAAACAGTAGAACATCTGTCTACTCATTAAAGTAAAAAAAAAAAAAAACTTTATTGGCTTTGAGAATTGAAACCCTGAGTTTTATTATTATTTTTCTACTGTGGCCATTTTACTGGAGATGTTTCAGGTAACTAAATGTAACGTGGTTGAATCACAGAATCACTTTGATCATTTTTCTGCTCATTTGAACTCTTATAACAGGTGTTTTATTAAAAACATGTGCTGCTGCTGCTTTTCAACAGATCCTTTCTTCCATCCACTTTCTGGCAGACATGAAGGGGAAATATCATCCTTCAAAT